TTTACCTCCAGACATCATCTCTCCTCTCGCTCCAGTCAATATTAACCAAGCTGTCCACCCCCTCCTCCCCCCCATAGCCTGCTTAAACTTAAAGTTACCAGCAATGTGACTGGGGCCGTGTGCTGTTGGAGTTGAAGATTGACCGAGCCCAGGGGCTAGTGCTCATAGTAGACAGCCCCGCCAACTTTGACCCCCCCTCTCTCATCAGTCATTGTCCATCACCCCGTAAGAGACAGAGCTGCTTTTGTCTGCCCGTGCAGCGACTAACCTCAGCTGCTTTTTCTCACTTAGCGAGCTCGCTCTGGACACATCACAGCCATTTTGTAGTTGTCTGTTTTTAAGATTAGGGGTACATGAAGTGAAACACCCTTTTGTTAGCCAGAAGAAGCGATGGTAAGATTAAAGCACGGGTCGCACAGGTTCATAGCCAGTTTAAGCTGTCAGAGATATTCATTCTGTGTTCAAAACTATTGCAGTTTCAGCTGCTGCAGGAATATCTTGGAAAGAAGAGCCAGTATCTGGAAACATGACACAATAACGCTCCTCTTTGTCAGGGAAACGACTTATTCAAAGCAACCATAAAACAAGATGATTCGCCTCCGAACGGACTTTAGTGACGAGTCTCCTAGAAAGCTGTGACATTCTATGAAACTGCTCTCAGATGAGGACACAACATGCTTGATGGAGAGATGTAGAGCACCATTGTGTAACTCCTATTCCCAGCTCCCATTCGAAGGGCCAGCCGTGTGTGTGTGTGTGTGTGTGTGTGTGTGTGTGTGTGTGTGTGTGTGGAGACAGGCTTTGTTGTCCTGTGAAGTCATGCATTAGGGGATAGCTTAGCAGTCGCCGAGAGGAGCTCTTTCTTTCTTTCTAATTACAGCACGGCCTGGTCCGGCCAGAGACCATTGTGCCAGGGTGCTGTGAATTCCCACAATGGAGCTGCTCAGCAGAGAACAATGAGTCAAATTCCTGACCGTTCCCAGCAGGTTCAGAGGCCGTGCTGACGAATAAAGACGGCAGCATTACAGTGGCTTTGCTATTCTACACTGTGTGTGTGTGTGTTACAGGGTGGCTACGTCTCCCACTGGGAGCACAGGGAGGGGTTGAAAGATGGGGGAGGTGAAGAGGAGGGTGCTTGTTTCGTTCTTTCTGTCGGAGGTGAAAGACTGTTCGCTCTTTGCTGGTGTAATCAAACCCCTGAGAACCAAAAGTTGGCCACTAAAAGCTGCATTGAAAGCATTGTTGATCAAAATTGATCATAGATCAGACAGAACACTGGACTTCCTGTGAGACTACATGTACAAACCCGTTCTGATCACACAAACGCAGTGGGTCCTTCGCTCACATGTACTTGGCCACGATAAACACAATCTGCTGTCTTTGTACTTCTGTACAGATGGCAAATGTCGAGATTGTGACAAGAATAGCCCAGCCATTTGCAAGCGGAAGGGTTCTGTTGTTGACATTGCCAGAAATGTGTGCTTACGCAGCCTTTAAGTAGGCTGCAGAGCTACAAGGCCTCCAACAAGGTCTGGTTGCACTTGTTGCATCCAGACTGGAGTTTCTGGGGTTCTTGCTTTCCCAGCTGCTCAGAAGTGTGTGTGTGTGTGTGTGTGTGTGTGTGTGTGTGTGTGTGTGTGTGTGTGTGTGTGTGTGTGTGTGTGTGTGTGTGTGTGTGTGTGTGTGTGTGTGTGTGTGTGTGTGTGTGTGTGTGTGTGTGTGTGTGTGTGTGCGCACGAGTGTCCATTTATACCCTGACACTTGCGTTGATAACCTGTTCTTCTCATAATCACTGTTTACTGAATGGGAGCTGGTGGGTGGTAAGAACTACCCCACAGTGAACAGCAGGTGCCCCACTGAGACAAACATACTGGCATCTGCCAGTCACCTCCCTTTCTGTTTGTTTATCACTCACAGATTTTGACAGATTTCGTTCAGATGCCCCCTTGTTCATCATGCAGGGAAGGTCTTTTTTTTAACCATGTGAAACTGGTACTATAATCCATTTGATTGCATTAAATTACAACAGGTTTGTCGTGTACAATGCTACTGTCGGACCATTTTTAATAGAATTTGTATTCAGAGTGTAGTTGAAAAATTCCATCATAGTTTGTGATGTCTTCAAATTGCACTTTTCAGGGGGGGGAGGGTGTTCGTCCAGCTTTTTGGCAATGCGGGTGAATTTGACATTGACGCTGTGTGTCTGTGCCTCTGCTACAGTCACACCCACTTGCTCTGGTTTGAGGAAATTTGCCAAGTGGTTCACAGAGGCCATAAAACTCCTCAAAAAGCGTTTCATCCTGCGCAGGCTTTTGAAAAGCATTCACACAGTCCTCCCTTGTCGTCCCCCTCCCCCCCTCCCCTCTTTGCTCAATTCACAAGGACGTGACACTCTATCTCCTTTACTGGTTACGCTACCTTTTAATGAAAATTGATAGTTTCACACACACACACACACCCCAGCTGCCATTGATCCAGGCCTAATAAATATTTTATAAGCCCCACTGTAAGGACACCCCTCTTTTATTCACAAGGTGTCGATGGTTGAGTCCAGAGGGAAAGATTGCTGTGCTACCTTCTTCTTACGGCCCCTGAATTCAGTGGGGGAGTAATACGTTTTCTCTGCGGAACATAATTATCCCGATCCTCAATCCCTGGTACTTTTAAAGTGGCGTAGGTCTCATTCACCAATGCACGTAAACACACTTACAATTGTTCCAATTCAAAGCTAATGCAGATCAGTCTGGACCCTTGAGTGACCTGGAATTTCTAAACTCTCTGAAGTCAGACGTCTAGGATCAGGGAAAGGAAGTGTGGGAGGAAAACGCTCACCAATGAATGAATGAAAGTGAAAACAGCTCAGAGGAAAAGGATGGGCCATTCATCAATTAGCGGGTGAAGATTCTTTCATCCCGCAGTTTCTTCCCAGACTGTTTTCACATATCTAGTCCGTCTGGGTGATATTGTGTTATTCTGGTTGGTTAGGAGAGTGGCGCCCTTTCACAGGATACGCCTTTTTAACACAGCAGAGAGGAGAACCCCTCTCCCTCTGGATCCAAGTCCTTATTTTTATCTGATGGCATTAAGAGACTGGCCCAGTGTTTGTGTTGGTGCTGTTGTGGGTTCAGGCCAGTTCAGTCCTTTTAAGTCTTTTACTATGTGAAGACGATCCCCTTGCTGTTGGCCAGTCAGGGGTTAAGCCTAAAATTCTCCGAAGCCTCGCTTCTGAATTAGCATGCCAAGGAATGAGAACAATCCAGCGAGCCTAACTGGACTTGACTCGTGGAGGCTAATGGTTAACAAGCCATGATGGAATTTCCCCTTTGATTCAGTGGAGGTGACCTGAGCTCTCGCAGATATTTTCTTTAGGATCGAAACTGTTATCACAAGGGGATCTTTGATGCCGTAATGGAATTTGAATGGCCTTGAAGGGAGACCTATGTAGGAAGTGTGAGCCCAATGCAGCGTATTCTGATGTGTAGTGTTATTGTGATGTCAGTTTATACAAAAAAATGTGTCTCAAAGGTGCTGCAGTACCGGAACGTTGAAGAATCACAAAGCAACTAACTCGGCTCCTATTCTTTATTTGCTTAGCGTTGTTACGAGTGAGAAGGGAATGGAGAAATGCAGGAGAAAAAAAGGAAACATTTCTAATATGAAATAACCAAAATGGTTCCAACAGAAGATATGAGTTCATCACTCAGAGAAGCTGGCTGATAAAATAAGTTTCCAGGGCCTTTAACGTCTATCATAAAAGTTTATCCAAACCTCAATTTGTATTTTTCTATCTGCTTCTGTTGTCAGCGGAACAAAACAAAATTGTTATTATTTGGTGTTGCATTAGAAAATAGATTGGGTTATAACTTTTATATCGGTGAAAAACAGTTATTTTCAGGTTATGCGTATAACATGTTGACGCAGTGTGTGTGTATAGTGTGTACTCTTTATGTATACTCTGGTGCTCTGATACAAGCAATGTAATATCTTGTGTAGTCAGCATTTGACTACCATGAACACACAGACAGACACACCGTATCGCCTTCTTTGCATACTCTCTGTAACACACATAGAGACCGAGTGTCACCGAGGCGTGAAGATATGAGGTGCCATCTACAAAATTTGTCTCAGTGACCACAGAACACACCCAGCGAGTCTTTAATTTAACGACATGCTCTACATCTCACATGGATGCCGCTATCTGCTCTTAAGTTGCATGTTCCTGAAAAAAGCAGCGCTTTCTGTGACTTGAATCTCAAACTGAAAATAGATCAGCCAAACCCTGTCTCGCACTGAAGAATAGTGTGTGTGCGTGTGTGCGTGTGTGTGTGTGCGTGCGGTCAGAGTGAGTGTCTTTCAGAAAAGCAGGGCACAGGGCCATGTATCTGCAGCTGCCCCCTCTCTGTGCGCTCTTTGATGGGGAGAAAGATGGCATTGACTGCTACAGCTACACACACACACACACACACAAGTTTGAGTTTATTTATGGGCGTGTACTGTACCGTTTCATCATTCTACAGTATCAGAAGAGCCGGTTACTGTTCACTATATTCACGGGAGTCACATCCTTGTATGTTCCATGACCGAAGCAGTTGGAAGTGTAACGCTCATTTGTAGTTGGTGCTTCAAATAGTAGCAAGGGGACGCCCACATACACACACACCCATACGTTCACAAATATAGCCATCCATTGTTTAACCAGCCCAACAGACAAAAAGGTCTCAACCGTTACTCTGTTTGTGGTGTGTTTGTCTATCAAAGATAGCAGTCCCACCTGTTCCCTGTGTGCACTGTACCTACACACACGCACACACACTATTTGGACACTAGCTGAACTACTCTGTCCTTCTTATGAGCTGAAGTCTACTTTTGTGTCTGAATTGGGGCAAAGACCTCTTTGCAAATGACAGTTGCAGAGAACCTTTTTCTAAAAGAGCAGACCGCTCTGTATTTTTAAATGCATGTCTAATGAATCCCTCTATTTTTCCGTCACATTTGTCCAGGTTTGGATGACAGCCTGCAGCAGTATGTGAGCAACTTTGAGCTGGAGAAGATCAGCGGGGAGCAGCTGCTGAAGATCACGCATCAAGACCTGGAGGAGCTCGGCGTGGCCAGGATTGGACACCAAGAACTGGTGCTGGAGGCCGTCGATCTGCTCTGCGCTCTGGTCAGTAGACCTCCGCTGTGCATGTGTGTGTGTGTTTGTGGCGAATGTGACGTGTATCCAGAATACAGTAGCAGGGATATCACAGGTAAAAGCATAACCGTGGGACGTGACTGTATCTTCTGGAAGGCAGGGGGCTCTCTTTCGGTCGCTGTCCCTTCCCCTCGTTCTCAATGTCCGCACTCACCAAAAAAAACAAAACTCCAGCCTGTAGTTTCTGGTTCGGCAGCTAAAGGAACCAGCAATGCAGAAAGGCTCATAATTTCCCACACAGCTCAGCAGGGTGTGGAGGCACCACAACACACGAAGCAGCCCGAGGACGTGGGGGGGACAGCAGTGTCACTCAACAAGAGGAGAGACCGGGTCAAAGAGGCCCTGGGCTCGATTTTGGCCGTTAGAAACTGTGTGAGGTTACAGAGGCAGTTGATGGTAATCGTGTCGCAACGAGTGACAGTTTGATCTCTTTGATAGATAAGAACCCTCCACCTACTAAGTCTCCTTCACACACTAAATACATAAAAACGCAAAGGTGTATTTGCTTTTTGGTCTCGTCAGACAGGTCGTTCTTACTACCTGAGCCATCTTTGTTATAGATCCCCCGTTTGGCTCTTGTTAGTCACTCTGGGAGCGAATCAGCTGACCCTTTTGTCTGCCATCAGAGCTCCCAGAAGAACTGCCAACAAAAATATGTCTGCTTTCAACTGGTGAGCACGAAAAGAGGGCTGAAAACCGTCCATGCTCCAACTGAAAGAGAAGCGGCTTTTCCAGCAGATGGGTTCGATTTGGAGTTTTATCACTTCCTGTGCCATAAAAGCCCCAGATTGTGGTCCCCTGCGTTTTGATCTGTGTTCAGCGTTTTCTGCCTTTACGCTCTCTTAAAAAATGCTTTACATTAATCGTTTGGGGCATGGTTGTTTTTATACTGAGGAAACTTGGAAATGCTCTCTCTCCTACATGAGGCTGCATCTTGCAAAGCTGTAGGTCCACCAGGTTTGGATCCCATGAACCCAGAAAACCCAACCCGTCCTCTACCCGTTAACAGAATCTCCTCTACCTGTGGTTACTGGAGGCGCACACCTGGAAGCACTTGGCTCATACAGTACATGGGTGCCTTTTATTTTGTTCTGATAGATTTACTCATCATAGAATATGTACCATATGGTACATCCGGTGGTCCACAACCTCTTTTACCATCACGGTAATCAGGCCCAGATTTCTGTTCACCCCTAGAACCTTGACATCATGGCAATGAAATCTCAAATCATTTTCCTCTTGAGCGGCTTCATAAATAAAGTGCTTCCTCAGCATGGTTTTGTTATTTTAAGTAAACCCCCCTTTACCTTGCATGTGAACTTTAGTCTCCCCTTTAAAATGTACTGTTAGTTAGTAATACAGTGTCTGCGTGTGTTTGTATGCACTTGATAGTCTTATGCGATTCAACTTAAGGCCAGGAATGCTGGACTCTCGGCAGCCTTTCACCTCCCACTGAAGCGGTCTGGCTAAATGTTTTTTGTCCTTTAGGGGTTTCCTTATTAAGAAGGAGGCCTTGGCCTGCCACAGGCCCCCGTGGGAGGAAGTGAGGCCCCCCGATTCAATTAGCTTTAACTGAGGCAAGGTCACTGCTACCAACAGGAACAGAGGCCACCATCACCTGACACCCCCCCACAAGCCCCCCCCTCTTCTCTCTTTTTGTTGACTGTCAGGTCAGACTCCTCCTGTCACTGCAGTCACATTCGTCTTTTGTGACACTTTGCTACTTGGCTTCGCCCTTGAATTTTAAACATTGAAGCATGTGCACACATTGTACAGTTTTTAACCTTTTATATATCAGGTACCTGAGCTGTCCTTTCAGCAGTTTCAACCCTATATCACGATGACCAATGGCCTAACGCACTACCCCCACATACCTGAAGGAAACATCCATACTCATGCTTCTCTTCTATCCAAAAGCTATCGAGAGCAAACTGCTGTCTGGGGACAAAGAGAGAACATTTCAATTAATTGTACTGGACTTCTCTGAGACATGATGTCTTTTGCAGAGTCAGTGTTGAAACCCAACACTTCTTCATTTGTTCTCGGAGCCCAGCGACCCACACACAGACCTGCTGCACCACACGATATTCACACACACACATTAACAGTCTCCAGCATACAGTATATGACAGATCATCTGGCTCCGTGAGCCACAGAGCCACTGTAAATGTATTTTACCGATGCCTAGGGGTGATCTGTCCCGACTTATAATATAACGCTTAACCTTAGATGGCACATTGTAGCAACAGACACACGCATGCCCAAACTCTCGTTCTACGGTACATACATTTCTCTCTTTTATGGTCGAGTCAGATCCATGTGATGCCTGTGGCGTGGGCAGGAAGTGCTGTGTTGTGATAGCCGTTCTCCAGAGGACACTTATACAAGTATATAGTCCCTTCAAAGAGCCCCAACTAGAACCTACACAAAAACAGCCTCTGCCATCTTGGTTCTAGATTAAACGAATGTCTATAAAAAGGCTCTGAAAGAAGGAAAAATCTGGCTTGAAATGCTGTTTTGAGAATGAAAAATTGCATTTGACTGGAACCTCATATTTGTGCTCGGACGTGGTTTTTCGCTCAGCCGGCAGTGTGGGACAAAAGCTCGCTGGACATCTGTGGGCCAGTTAGAACTGCTGCGACTGTGTGATTAGCCTGCTAATGAAAAAGCCAGGAGAGACGTTTGATCTGGAAAACACTTGCACTGCCTCCGTGCCACAGTTCCACTTCTACTGTGTGGAGGACTCGACCATCACATGGTTTATTTTCTCTTTTTTCCCCGTATATATTCCCTGAGAATGTTTGCTTATCTTTAATGATGTTTTAATCCATTTCATGTCAAGTGTGCCACGAGCAAGAAAGCCTACAGCTACTGTTCGACTAGTCCAGTGATTCCTTGAGCACTGACTGAGTGGATTTGTATATTTTTTTTGAGCTGATGTTGGATAGAGGCAGTGCCACACTAAGCACTTGCAAATCTCCTTCGCTGTTTCCCCAGACACGTGTTGTTTTACTACTTGCTAAGCGTATTTAGCTCCTGGCACATCACACACACGGCAGCATTGCCTGCAGCGATGCAACACCGTGTAAGCTGATATTTACCAGGACAGCAGCCGGGCTGCCCTTTCTTTGCTTAGCTTTTAACCAACACATTAGTCCCAAACCCATTTATTCAGTCAAAACATTGCAAACACTTTAAAACAAGGGCTTCCAAATATTTGACAAGTGCTAATGCTCAGTCTCAGACACACACACACACACAGGGCAGTAGCTGAGCTGCTACGTAGCTGGGTCAGTGGTGTGCTCAGTGACCCTTGCAGACACATACCTCTGCTGCTTTGTGCATCTGAATAATCTATAAATTGGAGGAATGCAGAAGCAGGAAACAGCCAAAGGCTCAAGAATGCAAACTTTGCCCCGCTTGGTAGGAATCAGGTGATTGCATGTGCACACACTCGCTGCACGCCCCACAACAATCCTGGAGACTGGGGGGGGGAGGATCTGTTCTCACAGACCAATATGTCAAAGAAATGATTACAGCTCTGCATTGTACAGGAAAGAACACGTTTTCCTGGGAATAGTACTCCACTGTTGTCAAATAAAACGAGTACCTCCCAGGTCTAGAACTGTGCAGAGGGGTTGGTTGCTTTGATCCGGAGTTTAATTGGAAATGGATATAATTTCGGCTTCAATCGTGAGTGCGTGCTCATTCCATTTTAGTTTGTTAAAATGGTGTGTTGACTTCCCGTTTCAGAACTATGGGGTGGAGACAGACAACTTGAAGAATCTGGTTGTGAGGATGAGAGCCGCCACCAACAGTCTACACATGGCCACGTCTGACCGCAGAAAAAGCCCCGTGTACGAGGGCAGCATGTCACGCAAGCCGCCCAACGACTTCCTCACCTCTGTGGTCGAGCTGATCGGCGCTGCAAAGAGCCTCCTGGCTTGGCTCGACAGGTAACATTTATTTTTTTTAGCCACCACCTGCTTGTGCAGGCCAGATATCAGAAATCAGAAGGGCTGCCATTTGACTGCTACGAGGAGATACAGGCATTTATCTTTTGGCATAAAAGGACATTTTCAGAAAGTTAGCAACAGCCATTGCACATGTCCATGCAGTTGGCCAAGTTACCACTACACACAGCTGTAAAGCAGAAATGCTTTACAGCTGTGTGCTTTAAGTACGGAGCTGGCAGGCTCCCCTGTGCTCTCCTGGCGACCTGCTCCGCATCACACCATAAAGGCAGAGCATGCTAAGCAGGACGCCAGGATTAAGTGTTCGCTGGCTGAAACAAAGCTTCTGTTTTTTTGTGGCATAAAGAAGGTAAGATGAGGTCGTGATATAGATGAGAGCAAGGTGTGCTAAAGTGACGTCCGTGTAGTTCACATTTATACATATTTTTAGTTTGAAATGAGCAGACATACTTGAAGGACTGCAGTGAGGGTTGGGTCCTGATGTGATTCATACGCATATGTTTTAGATGGAGTCAATGGGAAAGAGATACAGTCTGTAGCAATTCACCTAAGCCCAGCAACCAGAGCAAGGTTCACTCAGTCTATAAAGTACAGTGTTAGTAGCTTATAGCTGATTCCACAGTAAGTCACTTGAGACATATACGCTCCATGGCCACTTTATTTGGTACACCAATACAATTAGATGCAATCCAGTACAACAGCTCTGCTACATTTTCTTTCTTAATGAAGCTTATGATGGCTATTTTTTGTTCAAACTTTCCGAAATGTGTTAATTCAACTATGTGATGTTTATTACTGAAGTCATAGTAAGTTGTGGTGATGTACACAGAACTGCATTTTGAAATGTGTTTCCAATATTCTTCTTCTCTCATGCAACGGGGCGGGTACAATATTAGAAACACCTCTCAGTATAATCCAGCTCACTTCAACACCCCCATGCAGACTACAGCCTCACTAATACACATTTAGTTAAATGAACATTATGATCTCTGTGAAGATAGAATTCATGGATGAGCTCGTACAGGTGTGCGTATTAAAGTGACCACTGAGTGTTGCGATAAGCATCAAACGTTGGTGTCAGATGCTCCGATTTTAAAACTATTCGGCCATGTGAATGACTAACTCTCAACCCAACTCTGCAGTCCGTCGCTGGCTCCTAATGTTCTCCTTTACGTTCTTTGTCTGCTTGCAGGACGCCTCTTACGGGGATCAGTGACTTCACAGCCACCAAGAACAAGATCATTCAGCTGTGCCTGGAGCTCACCACCACAGTTCAACAGGTCTGCACGCTAGTTAGCTCAACAGCACACTCGCTAGCTAGCCCCTGGGAAACACACACACACACAATAGGTTTTTCCACCGAGCACATACCGGCCCAGGGGCACAGACATGCAAGACAAAGTGTTGGAGAAGAGAGAGTTATGGGAAATGTGGTCTGGCAGCCATGACACGAGCCTGAAGCCAGCAGTCTGAGCACATTATTGCAAATGCTGATGTTTTTCTTGGGCTCTTTTCCTCCTCACGCTGGCTAATGAGGAGACCCCCTTTAGTGCGGGGACGTTTTAATGGTAACCGTCGCTTTTGTGTTTTCAGTTGCCTAAAACCCACTGGCACTCTTTTAAAAGGCGGCCGCCAACATTCCCCAGGCTGCCGTACACTTTCAGCCATGTGGTTCCTGTTTCTGCTCCTCCAAGACGCTCGCAGCGGGACACCAAACTGTCTGAAAGCGCTTCGTGTGTGTGTGTGTGTGTGTGTTGGTTTAGTGCAGGGATGAGGAGCTGCTCCATCTCACGGAGCATACATCCGATACGTCTCACAACTTACTGCGTAGCAATGCTCTAGCATTGCATCACGATACAATTGGGTGTCGACTTCGGTCGTTTTTCATACAACCAGAAGTGGTTGGTCATATGTCTTAAACAAAGGGAGCTGGTGAGTGGCCTTTTCTTCAGGATCAAAGGCGTTAGCTTGTATGTGAAATTTGTTTTCCCTAAAGGGTTCGCCTTAAAGCAAAGCCCGATAAGCAACTCATTTTACGCGGCCAGCGAAAGTGGCTGCAGACACTGCAGGTGTCATTTTTTTAGGGGGTTATTGCATCAAAATAAATTCCTTTCCCAGAGTGCCTATTTCCTCGCCACAGTCTGGGATTTCAGCGCCTCTGGTGATTTACTGTGCGTGCCTCGGTCATGGTCTTCCAGGGGAAGTGGGGGGGGGGGGGGTATACGTTTCCCACACTGCCACGGGTAGTGTAGAGGTTACGGTGTAGAATAGGTGCTGAAAGAGTCTTGTAAGACTGGAGGGATTAGTTTCCTCCAACAACTGGAGGAGAGATGCAGTTTGGTCCTCCGTTCGTAGCTTCGTGTGCAACTGCAGGAACACTGATGAGGAGGCTTCTGTCCAACTCATCACATCGTTTAAGTGTCTAACCTGACACGGAGTTAGCAGACTCTTGGCTTCCTTTCTCATTTCTTTAGACCATTTAGCCTCCCTTGAGCCCCTGGTTAATAAAATAGGTTGCGCAGGAGACTGCTGCAGTGATTAGTTTTATGATGGGGGAGGACGGCATGAGGTTTGCCCGGCTCCTTCATGAACTTCAGCCAAGAATTAGGGCTTTTCAGGTCACACAATTTATGTGTTCTGCCTGAATGAAGCCTGTGTGTACACACACAATGGGGCACGTCCATAAAGCCGTGAGTGCATCAGCCATCTTGGCTGACCCGTCAGCGTGGAGGTCATTCTCTTTCAACGAACCACATTTTTATATCGATCCCCCGTGTCTTTTATCAGCGCCTCCCACTCCTGAAATGTTGGCTCAGATATGAAGTTATCTAGTTAAAAAAAAAAAAAGATTCCATTATATAGGCCAAACCCTGAACTTTAGCAAATGTATCCATCATATGTTCATACATTATGAATAACAGGATGTCACACAGTCTTTATTTCACTTCAGTGTAAAGGCAGCTACACTGCAGGTTCCCGCACTGTGCCAGCACTCCCCTCTCTCTCTCTCTCGCTCTCTCTCTCTCTCTCTCTTTCTCTCTCTCTCAGCCACTTCATTGCTCGACCATGCAAATCCGCTCTGCTGGCAGATCAAAGGCCCAGAGAGCAGCACACTGAGAGTCATCTGATCCACACCGGCTGTGGGATCAAGTCCATAACATGAGGGATCAGTACACCCAGGGAATTGTCCCTCAGCCTCCTTCAGCGCTTAGTTACTATCCAGATCCCGTGTACTAGAAGGACTTTAGTTTTGACAAAGATGAAGGGATTCATCTGGATATCACGAACAGACCTTAGAGGGATCATCTGCGATATTGTCTTCACATGATTTGATGGTGCTGCGAGACAAGAGAAATGTTCCGTAAATGTTAAAACTTGATGGGAGGTATGCCAACAGCATGTCTGCAGCACACACACCGATACCGTTTTTTGTTTCGCGACCTCTAAACATCGCAATATGTATTTTTAGCTCATCCCTCTTGGCTCGGTCAACAGTGCAGTCATCTAAACATGGACCAGTCTCTAAAAGAAATATGCAGTCGCATGTTTACACTAGCAAAGCCAAATTCTTTCAGAAACCACCATATGTTCTTGGCTGACTTTAAAGAATGTATTGTAGGGAAACATGAGTTTGGGACCAATATATGTCAAATTAATTGAAATGATTGGGTTTTTCCTACATAATGTTTATATTGCCGCCCCCAAGCAGGGGGAATGTGGTAAAGTCATGTGTATATTACTTTACCAAGAGAGATTAATTCTTCAAACAGGCACTCAAACGCTGATCAAAAATCATATTTTGGGAGCCTTGGATGTACTCTGCTTTGATGCGAGGCCATCGCTCACGGCCACAGACATTCAAGTCATTCAAATCCTTTCGAGGCAAACAAACTAACAGTATGACAAGCCAAGTGCATTGTGAAAACAGACGCCCCCCCCTTTAGCCCAGTGGAATGTGCCAGCTATGGAAATATGGAAAAACTTGCTCGACCCCCATTCGCTGTCTGCACAATGGATGCACAACGAGCAACAGAGCCGGCTTTGTGCGCGGCACATGTCTGTGCATGTCACTAATACTGTGAGGGCCACAACGCCAACATCCCTTTACTTTGCATCGACAAAGGCTTGTGGCTTGTGAGGCCTCTCTGGAGATAGAAGAGACTTGTTGAAGTCGATTTTCTTGTGCTCTCTAGTTATGACAGAAGCATTTTACCTGTGTTTTGATGGATGGCCTCCCTTCGGGCATTTTTCCAGCATAGAGCTAATTTCAGGGACCCCCACACGCACCGTGAACCAGGGGCCCTTTCACCATCAACAACACAGTTGTCCCGGGAGGCTGTTGCCTCAGCTGTGGCCAGTCCAGCTGCAGTCTGTGAGTGCCGTGTCGGGACACTTAAGCGGACAGTCTCCCAGCTGACTTTGCTGATTTTATTGTTGGATCCTTCCCCCCAAACAACTGTGATCACAGCTACTGGATCTCGTTTGGCTTCCTGAAACCCCCGCCCCCCCCTGCCCCCCCCCCCCCCATCCAAATGTTCCTGCATCCAAATGTTTGCAGGAAACCATATCACTGTTTGGATGAAACACCAATTGTTTTTTCACCATGTCATTGGCACATTGTTACTCTACGAGTGTTGGTATGGTATTCACGTTTCAATGTATTTTACTGAACCACATAGCGCATTCTGCAATTATAGCCTACCCCAGAATTTAGGCAGAGAGGTGGTTTGAATCTAAAAAGCTGTTTGTTTGAGACTGTTCTACATTTTTCTCAGTTCTATATCAGGAATGCTGATTATATCGTATTTACCCAACCCCTATACTTTTTTTTTTTTTTTTTTCTTCCTCTTTCCTGTTGTTTACTGCTCACAAGCCTAATCTGTCATCACTGTCCTCTGTGTAACAGGACTGCAGTGTTTACGAGATGGAAGAGAAGATCCTGGAAGTTGTAAGTATACCGTATCTCTTCTCTTCGGTTCTGCTAATGTAAACTATACGAGACCCTGAAGTTCCTAGGTCTGGTAGATCGTTTGGGTAAATGTCTTTTTTTACATGTGTGACATGCTCTCAGTAGCGAGGTCCTTTTTTCTGACTGAATAGAGCAGACGGGGCTATAGGATTTCCAACAGAGGAGGCGGCTCTAATACGCCCCGGGCCATCAATCAGTATTTCCTGTTCCTGACGCTCTCCAGACCCCTCGGGCTAATACTGGGCTTCCTCTAGCACTCTGTCTCTCTCTCAGACAACCCAAGTCAAGTCCACATTAGAGCCGAGTCTCCTCCCTCTGTCATGCTCGTCTCCTCTACATAAAGTGTACGCCATGTGTTCAAAACAAAATGCGTGTGCCTGAGCAGAGACGTCACAGATAGGACCCCCCCCTCTCTAATGATGACATGACAGTTTTTGTCCTGAAACGAGGAAGAAAAGGGGTGTGATGTGCATAGGACTGATCAGTGGTGTGTGTGTGTGTGTGTGCGTGTGCGTGCGTGCGTGCGTGCACTGGAACGTCCAGTTAATAGGGCACTAATGGTCCCCTTTAAGCCCATTAAGCCTTGCACTAAACATCAACATACACTCAGAGAGTCATGTGCAGAGGGACTAGGTCAACGTACTAATGAAGGAGAAGGTCTTCGTATTGCAAGTAGCAGTGCGACCTTGCTTGTTCCAGCCTGTACATCACGCAATGGTTATAAGAGGCACAATTCACCATTAGAGTATTCAGCACGGTGCTTAGAATCACAGTGAGAAGTAGAGTATTGTGCGTTTTATTTACCGATGAACTTTCTTTTGCCTTTTTTGCTCTGCAGTCTAAGATTTTGAACAGCATCTGTGATCAGACCGTGAGAACGACCTCTGACCCCCTGATGAGCCAGTCGGCCTGCTTGGATGAGGTCCAGCTGACCGATATCAAACCAGGAGAGGGTCTGGTAAGGAATGCTGCTTCTTGTTTTTTTCCTTCATCTTTTTTTAAATTTTTTTTTCCCTTCCGAGTGTGCAGGCCAGGAATGCATGCGATGCGTGTCAAATTGTCAACCTCACATTGCCGTCATACGTGTCTCTCCCTTTGGGAGTATTGTATTTTTACTGAAACTGTTTTTTGCCCCTAGGGGATGTACATCAAGTCTACCTACGATGGGTTACATGTCATCACAGGAACCACAGAACATGTAAGTATGACAGTATGCTGACCACAAGAATACATTCAGCCCCTTTCAATGCTGGAATTATTTGAACCAGTGAGAAGACTGTGAGACAGACTGTAGTCCAGAATGAGGCAGTTAGTCATTTGCATTGCTGCCCATCGTAATGTCATATGTCTGTTACCACTCCTTACTATTCCATTTTTTGTGGAATAAAAATACCTCACTCTCACTTTCTCATCCTCCTCTTCATTGTCCTCCTCCTCTACTGAGGGCACGCTGAGTTATCCGAGGGAGTTAAGAACTGCTGATCCATAAAGGGAACTGTTTGTCATATTTACCGATTACTGGAGTGCAGAAGCCTCCACTGCCTCCACAGAAAGACGTCCTACCTTTCCCCACGCTGAGACAACCAGTCAGTGACTAACACACCAGCATCACGGCCATGGTTGGATCCTCACGCCTCCGGTCCTTAATCGTGAATCAGGGCCTGAATCATCACCAGTAATAACTAGTTAATCCCGTTTGACATCCGTGTGACATGAAAAACAATTCAACTGATATTCATACATGCAGAGAGTGTTTGTGTTTTCTCACGAATTGAACTCAAGAGTGTTTGTTTATCAAATATTTGCTCTTTGAAGAGAGAATTTCAAAGGCAGACAGGGCTGGCACTAAAGTAGGTCCAATTTCAACAAAGTTTTATAAATAGTATGATGTGTCGGTGTTTTATGAAAGTGGTTTATCGGGCTTTGACCTTTTACTTTGTTTGTTATTTAGTCACCAGCAGACCTGAGCAGGAAGATCCATGCTGGTGATGAGGTGATCCAGGTCAACCAGCAGACAGTGGTAGGAACCTTTTTTTTTTTTTTTTTTCCTTTTGGATAATTAAATATTTGACCGTATGTACTGTCAATTTGAGTACACACTGTGGATATTAATGGTGTTTGTGTGTTTTTAACCAGGTGGGCTGGCAGCTGAAAAACCTGGTTGTCAAACTGAGGGAGGACCCCAAGGGTGTGGTTCTACTCCTGAAGAAGAGGCCCTCAGGCACAACAGGTTTCACCCCCGCCCCACTCAAGAACATGCGCTGGAAGCCCGCAGTACAACAGGTACACGCACACAAACAACACACTCTTACTCCTTTCATTATGGAAGATCTACAAACGCCTGTGCGTCTAGTCATTGTCAACCAATTATCAGCTTTTTAGGGAGTTGGTTCGAAAAACAGCAAGTTCAGACAAGTGTCACAGAGCCACCCTGAAAGTGCCGCCGGCTCAATCACGTACAACATCGGGGGCAAACAAAGTCCCACGATGTCATTCAGTCGCGGAGATAAAGCCGGCAGCCTACAGTGTTGGAGTCTGGTTAGATTGTATCTGGTTTATTAGAATGAAATTGCCCCAGATGTTGCCATCAAAAGAAGACAAAAGGACTTAAGATAATTCATGTTATTTGGGTTCGACCTCCTCAAAGGTCAGGGGTAGCTGATAAATATTGTGCTAATAAGGTTATGTGACTGTAATCCAATTTGCCGCTCTCCCTCATGTGAACACATTAGGCTTCACTTAGCTTTTAACCACATCTCTGCACCTGAGTCCCGTTTTAACAGAGAGGGAGACAATAAGCCCATTGTAAACTAACACGACCAAAATCACAGGCTCTGCTATTGTCTTATCACGCGTAGCCTGTTTCATAGCCAGAGAGGGCAAGATGAGAAGATATCAGATAAAGAGTGGGTTTCTCAAAACAACAAAGAGCCTCTCAACACAGAGGTGGCCAATGTCAACATCATCAGCAGCATCTTGTTTTAACAAGTAGTCCGGGCTATCGGAGGCAGACATCTCAGTTTATCTGAGATAATAGGGCTCCAGAAGAAGACAAGCATACACCCTGATTGAGGAATGGATGACGCTGGCTTTGTAATGATGTATCATTTGTACACTTGGGAGCTATTTGGACAAGAAAAGTGGGTGGAAATGATTCATAAGAGCCCAAACGGGACGTGTTAGTTTGTCATCAATCGCATCACGGGCACAATGTTGTTGAGTGTCGGAGGACATAACTGTGGTAAATGAGTACAGTTTTAAGTACATGTCTCGCCGACTATTTTGAACTTTGCTTACAATCTTTCCATACCTCAAACAAGAAGGTTTATACTCGGGAGGGGGGAGAGACGCACTCGAGCACTTAAATGTCTCGCCACATGTGTTAAACTCCTCCCAGTTGCCAGCAAGTCATATTCAGTCTTGAACCGAGCGCAGCGACTTTGTCTGTTTTCAACCGTAAACTGACGTTGATACATTGTGTGTTTTTCAGAACAATTCCTCCCTGATCAAAGTCCAGTCTCCCTGCGGCTCAGCTAACGGATCGACCAAAAAGGAGAAGTCTGCTATCCTGAACTTGTACATCCCCCCTCCTCCTCCAATGCCGTACACCCCACGGTGAGCTTATTGTGTCATTAGGTTTAATTTGATTCAACAAGTTGAGTTCTTAAAGTTGGAACATGGGAACGAAGCCTTAAAACAACAAAAGAACTAGATCAGCCTGTAGTAAGCGGCCCCTTACTCACCCCTAGTCAACTGTTGCCACAATTCTACCCCTCACATCGGGTTGATAACGAGTGTGTCCCTGACCTGCGATCGCCTTACCTCTCTCTCCTCCTACTGCACATTCCTTTCTGCTTGTGTTCAGCCCACTCTGCTCCCACCAGAGTGGGATGTGGTGTTGTAATAAATAAATAAACGAGCATTTGTTTTTCTCCACGCAGAGAGGAGAGAACGGACTCCTTCCACAGCAGCATTAGTAAAAGACCAAAGGGCTCCGAGTCACCCAACTCCTATCTGGACCAGGAGAGCAGAAGACGCTGCACCATCGCAGATTACGACCAGCTGAGCGCCGGCTGTCCCATCGAGGCCAACGTGATCCAGCCCAGAATGAGGGAGCACAAGTCCTCGGGTGGTCAGTAGTTTCTCATTCAGGGAATCTTAGAAACATTCCACCGATCTCTTTTTAAATTATGGCAATTGATGAACATGAAACTCTTGCCATTAGGTAAGCCCCGGCCGCTCTCCATGCCCGCGGACACCTGCGTTGGAGTGGTGGATCCCTACGCTAAGCCCTGGAACCAGGGAAGGAAAGGTACGCACAAGACACCGTTCACGTTCTGGTGAAACCCTGATGATTCCATGTTTAAGCCTCACTTCAAGGACTGCACACTTATGGTTCATACAAATTATGAGCAACAAAAGCAGAGAAGCATAGCACACAACACTGCCATCAATTGCTCTACAAGTGACATTTGAGCACATTTAAGTTGTCAAGAGCCTCAAAATCAGAAGAAAAACAATATAATGGTAGAATCAAGATGATTACATATTCACCGTCAATCATGGTCAATTTACAGCCAATTAAAAAGACTTTCAAAGAACTTCATTGAGCATTACATGCGTCCATTATCTCATGAAAGATTAAAGCATGCATTATTTAAATTCACAGAGCTAGGTTAGCTGTTGCCAGCCTTCATGCTAAGCTAACCGCTCTCTCCAGCTCTATATATCGAACGGATAGATATGAGAGTGGTATCGCTCTTCTTATCTAATTCTGCAAAATAAGCATATTTCCAAAGAGGTCCAACTAACACTAAAGAATTAACATCAGTGCTGATGTTGCACACTGCTTTGTTCTGGATTCACATTTGTAGGCAATAGATGCTAGAAGCCTTTGACTTAAAACAGCCAGAGCCTCCATCTAATGCCACTGCTGAGCTGATGTCTCGCTGTCTCTCTGCCTCAGGTGAGGACCTCCTGTACAGATACCTGAGCAATGAGAGGATCCCCACCATTGCAGAGGAGGTCCCCTCGGTGTCTCCACCCTACAGGCCCGCGGGGGAGCGTCACCTGGTCCGGGTGGACCACATCCGGGGCAGCCGCTACTACTCCAACCACGACCTCCACAACAGCGCCACCATCCCCTACCAGGAGGACATCAAAAAGGCCCCCGTAGGCCCCGCCTCCAAGCGTGCAACGGCAGAACGCTCACTACTGGTCAGTTGGATCACGCGGCTTAAGCTATTGACTCACTGATGATGCGCTTCCTGTCCGGGGCTTCCTGTTCCCGTCTTTTGTCCTTCCTCAGTGCCTTTGATTTTTAACGGCCGGCTGGTTTTTTTGTGGCAGCTTCGGCTTTTCTCACACTCCTCTCTCCCCCAACCTCCATATTTTCCCTGTTGTTACTACTACTACCAACTACTACTCTTCAACCAAACTCGCTTTTGTGGTACTCGCTACATCACATCATCTCCCCTTTAACACTGCCCCACCACCCTCCTCGTCCCCATCGCTGCCTCAAGAAGACACAGTTTGTTCAGGTTTAGGATACTTTTGGCCTTGTGTGCCGTCTACGGACTCCTCTGTACATATTAAGCTTTGTCATGTTTCAGTTGAAATGTTCTCTGGTACCATTATTTAATACTTCAGAAAACTAGCCTGCTATTTGCTTCCTTTTGATTTTATTTGCATAAATAAGTTCTAAGAATACAGCATATTCTGTTGGTGAAACTGTGCTGTTACTTCTACATGTTTTCTCAAATGACACTTTTGTGATCCGTTAGTTGCATTACCCTCGACCAAAGGTTGCCTCTTGTAAGCTATGCATTATACTTCAGAGAGATTTTTTTTATAGTCACTTTAGTCGACAATGCTGCATCAGTTGGTAAAAGGATGTTTATATCTTGCCACTGGCAGGTATTTGTGCTGGTTTTAAAGATATGCACTCTATTTCAGTAAACTTTTATATCCTGTGTTTCAGTTTACTCTGCAGATTACCCACCTAAAGGGCCTATATGCACACAGCTGCTTGACAGCAATAAACGGTCTTTTTCTCTGAGGACACGCTGGTCAAATGGCCTTCTATTAGCTCACAGATCACAAGAGACCGAATGACAGTATTATTTCAGAAGATACAGGGAAGAAGTGTCTGTTGTTGCTTTATCTGCCTTTTTGTAAGTTTTGAATAGCGTTTTATTAAAAATTGCAGTTCATGTGAGTGATCTTTTGTATTGTCTTTATTTGACCGTTGGAGTGTGGAATTACTGCTTAATGTGAAACGTTAATGGAGCATGTGGGATGATATGTTATTCTGAAAACGACACGCTGTTCTAGTATCACTTCACATACTCAAAAATGAGATCATTTATCACCACGATCTGTCAGCGGAGGGCAGCTTTAGTCATTATTCACTTCCACTGAATACAGGACCAAGCTATTGAGCCGGAGGGCTCTCACCTTTTGAGGTGAACCCTTCTGTTTTGTTTTTTTTTAAGCATGCGGTGAAACAGGATAGCTAATGTCAGGTTACCTGTTCTCTTGGTCTCAGATGGGGATGGGTTATGCATCTACTTCCCTCTTTGATGAACTTTAATTTCCAGCTGGAGGACCATATGGTCAAAGCAGGTTTTTCCATCAGGGGGATCTTATTCCCTGCACATATGTTGCCTTTTAAGCATTTAAAAAACCCAGGTTAGGATTACTATGCCCGACAGCTTTTCGCCTTTTTCATTGATTTGGAAGAAGTGTGAACCTGGGAAGGATCCGCAGCTTTCACCGTGGAACCTAAGATGCGACTGCTTTCGAGAACGACCCACCACCCTTCACCGCTTTCCCCCTTCCGCCTGTGTCTCTTTGTGCATGAGCTCTACTGATGGAGAGGGGCCTCTTTTCTTATCACTCCTTCCTTGTGTCTTGCTCTGCCCAAGCTTGCCAAGCTATAGTCGCCTGCGGTCCTCACTAATTTGCGCTTTCTGAAAACCTGTGGTCTGCCTAAATACTACCTGCACTCTGTTTAACCCACTGCTAAGTTTGCTAACCACTAACATCTTCTGCCTGCAAATCACAAACGGTCACATGGGAATGACGGGTGCAATTATTTGTAGATTGTGCATGCGGAATGTTTTTTGTTTTTTTTTCGATGGATGTTTTGTTCTTTATTACTTTTTTTTTCCCCATTTATTCTGGAGAGGATTTACATATTTGACACTGAATTAGCCAAAAAAATAGTTTGTACTGGACATTAAATATGTTCATAAATTAGCTGCCTGCAAGATAGGATGCAGCAGTTTTACTGTTAGCATATACTACATAAAGTCCTATGTTATAATCTTGAAATGAGTACTGATCAACAGCAGCTTTGAGGGTATGTTAAGTCTCAATGGAGCTTCAGGCTTTCAGAGCAACCACACCACAATAGTCCGACTCCATCACCAGCGTGCGTTAACACATGAATCTCTATGTATCACAGGGACCTGACTGGCACTCTAGCAGTGACTTCCTCAACCGGTGAGTTCCTCGCTATCTCCCCCCCCCCCCCCACACACACACATATACACGCTTAGTCTATAGGCCAAATGAGAAACGAGACCAGGGTGGGGCTAGTTTTCCTGCAGGGAGTGTTGGCGAGCGGCCGTGGAATCCTTTTAAAACAAGCCACGGGGTGCAGGGTCAGTGGGTGGGCTGCTTTTATGATCAGGGAAAATATGCCACAGACAACCAGGCTAAGATTCATACGGAGCACAGAGAGACAGACATGGATGGTGACAGCTGTAGGGCAAAAAAAACACGGTTATAATCCGAGTGTGATGGTATATCAATTGTTTAAAGGTAAGGTATTAAATATACTTAGTCGATTTGTAAGGAACTGCAACAACGTGGTTAGAACTGTTCTCCTACACAACACATCACTGCTCTGCTTCAGCCTGACAGACTCCCTGATAGATTTCACTATTTGGCTTTTTTTGGACAAAAATTGATAATAATCTCAACTGCAGATACATTTTGGTAGTTATGTCAACCTTTTAAATGCTAAATCAATTTAGAGTTTATTACTAAATGATATTTTGGTGTTTTTCTGAGACATCGTTATCCCTCAGGACCATGTATGCAAGACGTTCCAACACGGTCCCCCACACACACACACACCAATGTGTCCATCCCTTCGCCATCCATCCCCCAAGACAACCTTCACGGGCTGCAGAATCTTTAGAAATGTCACTGTTATGAACTATAAATGATCCCATCCCACTGCGAAACGCGTTGACACGCGAGCATTGCTGCCCCCCGTCTCGTCATCCGTGGGCCCTGTGTCTCCTCTGGTCTCGGATGTGGGGCCTGAGGAGGTGTGACTCTC